TGGTAGCAGTGCAGATTTCCTGCATCAATGTAGATCACCCTCTATCCAACACCCCTTGAAAGAGCTGGACATTTTCCCACCTGTTTTCCCCAGTGTAAAATATCTCTGAAAAATGGTCATAAGTTCTGTTAGAAAAGGTTTGAGTACATACTGCATACAAGGTAGGGCAAAGTAGGTTATAGCTAGGAGTATGCAAAATACATTTTATTCATATATTATTGTTAATTATTGTACTTTACCCATATGAACAACTTTAAACCTACTTGCACCCCATCCTCTATATGATGGCGTTGCAAGAACTTCCTCAGGGGAATTCATATCCCCTGTAGATCAATGGGCTCTTGGTTTGAGAACAAGCTCATTTCTGCAAACAGGTCCAGAGATCATACTTTTCCATCTGGCAGTTGACATCTGCTTTCTGCTCACCCATTCTTGATTGCATTGTTTCTGGTATGTAAATCAACCAATGCCTTCATTAGCTTGTGATCTATCTTACCTCTAGGAACATCACAGTCTGCCAGAACGCCACCAACCCCCTACATTTCAAGGATCCCCTACATTTCAAAGATCTCTGACTGGTAACTGCATTCACTTTCTGATGGTTAAGTGATGCGAACTGCCCTTGCTATTCTGGAATCCTGTCATATCGATTAACGCTAGGGCATCTCCTACTGTCATCTCTGGCCTGTACAGAACAATCACCACCGAGCCCCTCATCTAAGTCAATACCTACTCATTACTGCAATTTTCCTGCTTTAGTGAAAGGATTGTCCTCTGGGCCCTCCCAGAGAACACAGCTGGCAAATTCTCTGGTCTCATATGATTATTCTAAGAAGTTCACTACTCAGAGCCTCCTGACCCTTTCCTTAATAACCTGCCAAGACAGTGCTGAGGTCTCCCTCTCATTTACTGTAGATTACCATTGCGCCCACACTTCAAGTTGCTATCCTCACAGGGTGTTAGGACTTGCTGAGACATTAAATCATCAGCTACTGGATATCAACTTCATTCCTACTTAGCTTTGCACACTGCCAGTCCAGTACTCTCAAGATCCATTACCTCGTGAAATCCTTGGTTCCTGCTGACATATAAATTAACCTGTGGTTTTTCTTGTGAATAAATAACTTTCTCCTGTAGTAAAAGCTGCACTTTCCATTGTATCTGTACTGAAATCTAACCCTAGCTATTCATGAGGAAGCAGTGAGGGAAGGCAAGGGTGCAATCACCTTGTGAGGCAAATGACTGAGGTGCAGCCTTGAATCATCTCCAGGTAATGGGAGTCTGCTTTTTTCCAGCAAGGAAGAAGGTGACCTTCTATCATCCCAGAAGGCTAAGGAATCTGGGGGTTCAGGTACCTCAGGCAAATCTACCTAAGTGTCCCCATCTCAGTCCCAGAGTTTGACTTGGATTTAACATAAAAAACATGTCAGCCTGGGCATTCAATCTCTTTACAGCTCTGCCACCCTTTTCATGAATTTCTGGGCTGAACTGGAAGTGCAATACGGCCTCTGGTTGCAGAAGATAAGGGTCTCTGAATGAATAATGCTATGTTGGTGTGGATCATCTTTTAGTCACAGACTGCTTTGGGAATGTTGTAAAAGCCATAGGAAGATGGGAAACCGCCTACTAGATGGGTGTCAAGAGCAAGTTATGTCTCTGTGCCTTAGTTTCATTATTTATAAAATGAAGAGAGTAACAGTACAAACCTGGAGCAGATGTTTTTTGTCCCCCAGGCGGCCTTGGAAGCAGTCCATCCTCGGAGGAAAGTTCTGGCAGCTGCCAGCATCCCACCTCAAGCAAGCAGAGGTGTGTAGCTCTGCTTTTCTGCCTCAGGGCCTTCTCGAATTGCAGCATCCCCTGGGACAATCCTTGCCACCTCCATACCCCATGGTAGATTGCAGTAGGTGGATAAATGTCCCAGATTCCTCCTTCCAGAGGATAATTCCAAGGCACATTCTACATTATTTCTCAGAAAGTCCCCGAGAGGCTATAAAAGCCCATTGTTGACCATATCAATAACCAGTTTAATAGCCACCTTCCTGGTCTCTCTCCCTGCCTTTATTCCTGTTCCACACCTTCTCCATCACCTTCCATATAAACTACTTGCATCCATGCCCTGCCATCGGTTCTGCTTTTCAGGGAACCCAAATGAAGCCAGGGGAAAAATGACCACTTTAAACTGGATAACTGAAAATAATTTAGTAAAGGGATCATGAAGATGAGGTAATTAGGGAAAGAAGGAATGGTGCAGCACACCAGGGCTAGTAATACAGCTAAGGAAGTAAGTGGGAACCCTGGCCTTTTTTTAGTACAGGTAGGAGGGCCAGGACTAAGATGAAGCCTGTATACACCCCCAGCACAACATTTAAGAAGGCAGGGACTCTCAGGTTTCTGGAAGTGCCAGCCTGAGAGTGAGTGCTTCCTGAAATTTCACACCCTAGGTCTCTGCTTGCCTCACCCTGCTCCCAGCCTTTAAGAGAACAAGTCAGGCGTCATTTTTCTCTCATCCTTTCCTACTGATGCCTCCAATTTGCTGAACCCAAAGTTCCAGGGGCATTTACATTAGCCTTCTAGAGCACTGGTACCCAACATTTTGGCTCACACCAAGGATCAGTTTCGTGAAGACAATTTTTCCACGGATGTGGGGGTGGGAAGGGGATGGAGCTCAGCAGCAATGCTAGCTTTGGGGAGTTGGATGAAGCTTCGCTATGGGAGGGTGGGGGGCATGGAGATCCCTGTTCTGGAGCATAGAAAGGTAGAGTGTTAAACAGAAACTATCCAATTCTGCACACTGCCTCAGTGGAGTTATGATGATTATATGAATTAAGATATAAAGTGCTTAGAGAGGTACCTGAAACATGCTGCTCTTGTTCTTATGACTACTGTCCATAGGATGCAAAAATTTGAATATTAGGTTCATGAAGCCCCTGAAGTATATTTATAGACTAGGTTCAAGGACTAAACCCCACCTTTGATTAAGTTCTTTTCATTGTATGGTGAGCCTTCACAAACTGGCCTTCAAACTTTTTTCCCTCCTACTAGTCCAGTCTTTCCCAACCTTTTACATCATAGTACTCATAGAAAATGGCAATATTTATACAACACTGGAATGAAGAGATGAGGTGGCCCTCAACCTGGAGTAAATGGCTCAGGGACTCTGCCTGCCCCAAAGACTGAGGGCCTCAGTATCTTAGCACACCCCTGCCAGATGGAAAGCTCTGGTGAAATCTATCATTTTCCCTGCACAGTAACACCAATTTAGCTTTCTTAAAATATGTCCACACATCCTTTTATGTAATGAAAATAATACCCAGAATTCTTGGTCTGATGTTCAAGATCAAGGCAAGGGGTTGAAAAAGACAGCAGAAATTATTTTACCAATGATGAGGTGAAGCGCAACAACGTTAAATGACTTGTCCAAAACAACATGCCAATAGAGGTTCATTATCAAGGTCAAGTTCAAGTACCACTACCTTTATGAAGGCTTCTCAGTTCACATTAGATAATGTTTAAATTAAAACTATAAATAATTACACCCTACAGACCACACTCAAGCAGGCTTTACTTCTGATGGACCCTGTGGACCCAGTGGAAACTGCTGGATCATAAAGTGTGCATGTTGACCTTTATAAGATATGCCAAATTGCTTTTCCAAGCTATATCAACTTAACTCATAGCAATAATGTGTACAAATTCCTACTGATGCACATGTGCTCCAGAATTTGGTATTCCTATACTAAATTTTGTCAATTTACTGAATGAAAAATGGTATCTTGACATAGTTTTTTTTGTATTTGTGGATTAATAATGAGACATGGAATCTTCTCATATATTTATTAGTCATGGCATTTCCTCTTCCACATTGCTATTTCTTATCCATTTTTCCTTTTCAATAATCTATCAACCATCATAATCTCCTGCTACTTACATTTCCTCATTGAAGATTACAGATCATTTTACATTTGCCACATTTATATCTCCTATTTTCCTTTTTATGGCACACCGGTAAAGTATAACCTGTGCCACCTAAATAGGTAGGTGGGTTTCAGGTAATTGTTCACGTATGAATAATCCTACCCTCATAAGATTAAGATTCTCGATCTTTGTCATTTACGAGGATGACATTAGTTTCTACATTAGTTTAGACCTTTATTCTTACAAGTTCTATCTCCTCTACTCCTTGACACTGGAAGGGCGCGATCGTGTCATACACATCCTTAAACTACTACTGCAAGCATAGCGCCAGCACACTGCGTGTATTTAATACTTTCTATGATTTTCACCGCTGTGTACGAAGGCCGTCCTGCAAACATCGTCCACACTTATTTTACAACTGGGACCAACATTCAGCGTCCATGGGGTTTCCCTCGCCCATCTCTGCCACTTCACGTTGAAAGTGTGCTAAGAATCACCTGCAGGTCTCTTTCATACAGTTAGGCGGCAATGGGCTCCGTTGTTGTTTCACAAAACAAGAGGGGGTCACCACCGAAGCGGCTGTGGGGGAGATTTTCACCTCTCCCTGCAACCTGGACTTTCCGCGGGCGAGCCCTTCCGGACCAATCGTTTTTCTTCACATATACCGCCTAAAAAGAGCAGTACCCACATCTACATCAAAGGCCCAAAATTCATGGTCATGAGTTCCTGGGCTGTTTTTTTATAAGAACAAACCGTACAAACACAAGGACGCCCAAACACTAACACACAAACGAAAACACACCCACGTGCTCCGATCTGGTCCCGCGGCTCCAGGCCTTTGAAACTGAACAGAGAAAAATTATCTTAGCATCCTACTTCACACTTTCGACAATAACTTTTCAGCAAAAGTAAAACCTAAAGGTTCAAATAGTTGATTAAAAATGTAATCTATTTTTTTATGTGTCTTTTTGTCTTTGTGTCTTTATGAGGGCTAATCTGAGTCTCCATACTGAGCCTCCCCAGGAGCACAAGTGTGGAAACTGCGACAAGTTAGGCGCGGCTGCACCGGAGGCGGGACAGAGATTGTGACGCCACAGCTGCGGGGCGGAGGCGACGCTGTCAGAGGGGAGGCTCCGAGTGCCGCCACCGCCAGACCCCCCGGCTAAGAGACGGCGAGGGTCTCTGACCCCGTGCGCTTATCCGTGGTGGTCCGCCCACGTTGAGTCCCGCGTGAAGATGGCAGACGATCTCGGAGACGACTGGTGGGAGAACCAGCCAGCTGGAGCAGCCAGCAGCCCAGGTACCCGCTCTGCCCTTCTCCTGCGGGCCTCATCCAGCCCCCACCACCACTAACCCCGCGCCCCACGCCAAGCCCTTCCTGGCGCCCCCTCTGGGGCCCGCCTTTGGCAGTCACGGGTTCAGTCCAGCTGTGGCGCGCACAGCTGTGGGAGCTCACGAGCACGGTCGGGGAGGTGGGTGCGACTTACTGACACGTGGGACAGACAAGTATGACATTAACTAAGATCTGCCCGCCAGTCACGAATGACCCTTTCCAACCTTTGTATTTCTTTTCCTTGTTTTTTAATGGATAAAACCGTTTTCATAAAGACACACATTTTGGGAGTAGTGATTAAGAACAACTTCTGGGTTAGGTTTCACACTGCTTCTGTTCAAATGGCGACTGCAGTCCTCTAATACTGTTTTGACTTTTTCCCCCTCGTCTGTAAAATAAGGATAATAATGCCAATTTCATAAGGTTGTGTTGAGGATTAAATGAAGATAATATAAATGAAGCACTTTAGCACAGCGCTTGATACATAATATGTGCTTGGTAAAATAAGCTAGTTTTTCTTGCTATTATCACCATCATGATGTAATTTGGATTATTAGAGCCTAAAGGAAGCTTAGATAGATAGAGATGGTCCGTTGGAACTCACTCATTTTACAGATGAGGAACATGAGACCTAAGGATGTTAATAACTTGACAAGTGCACATAACTAGTTGGGGTCAGAAACAAGCCTATAATTCAGTTAACACAATTCAGACAATGTTTACTATGCTATGTATACCCAATGCCAATGCAATGGACATTTTAATCTAGAGTAGATAGCATTAATTCTTCACTGTAGGTCTGGCCTCGAACTTTTCTTTTCATGTCCCATAAGGCCTAGTACACAATTATGTCCTTTATCTTTATTCAAAGTCTGCCTCTTTACTAGCTTCTGAGTTGTTGTTGTTGTTTTTTAGGACAAAGCCAAAGTCTGATTTAGGTCTGTATAGTCCACAGGGCCCTGCACATGATTGACACTTGATACATATTTGCTGTGAATATTAATGTTGAAATATGAGTTGTGAGATATCTGTTAAAAACAACAAAATTCTACCAAAGCATGTTTCCACAAGGGCAGCTCTTGGATACAAACGGAGCAGATGTCATTTTTAAAAAGGTAGCCTTTATAATAATTCCTCCATTAAACTTCCTGACTCTTTGCATCTTCGTTTCTGGTAAGTGTATCTCTTGTGTTTCAAGGCACAAATATCTTTCTTTGTAGCCTGTATTGTCCCAAATTTACTCTAATAACCCTTCTCCTCCGTAACTCAGGTGTTAAAAGCTGTATTTTATGGTACGATCCAAGGGTAGAGACCACTTAAATAATCGAATTCTTTTCTAGTGGTGAACTGGATCCTAATTCTTGATTCTACCCCTGCCTCTTGCCCCTCATCAGCTATGTGTCTCTGAAGTTAGTTATCCTTTGGAAGGAGGGAAGTCAACTTGTATAGAGCATCAGTTATGTGCTAGATGTTTTCATAAATACGAATTTATTTCATGTTTACAACATCTTTTAAAATGTCATTTTTATAGATGAAAAACTGAGAAAAGTAATATTCTTAGGAACACAGCAAGGAAAATATCTGGGAAGAGTGTAGTCAAGTGTGCCTGACTTTCTAAGTCACAATTCCCCACTATTATTACATGGCTTCTCTGGGCCACAGTATCATGTTCTGTAAAATGAGGGGTCCCTAGGGATTATGTTTTTAGGGGTTTTACCCACCAACAGTTCTACACATTAAATCTAGTAGAACTTTAACGAGTTACAGCCTCCTTCATCTCAGTTGCCAGGATCCCCATCAAGATAGTGTGTTGGAGTCCCCAGGATTACCTTACTTCTTAGATTCCTTCCAGCTGTAAGACTACCTATCAGTAACATTAACTTTTTCAGAGGCCTTTGCTTTGTTAACTGCTTTTAACTAAAGTGAGCGTGTAAGCTTCCTTGAGATCTGCTTGAGTGATTATTTACTAGTAATTTGCCTTCCTAATCTGTGGTATTTCTAATACAGAAGAAATCACAGCTGAACCAACTTAGATTTCCTGATTCTTCCTACATTAATAGGGAAAGATCAGCCTAAAATGTATCAATTATGTTTTGTTTTGAAGGTCAAAGTGGAAATAGTGCCTTCAGTCAGAGAAAAGTAGGATAGTTATAATGATGGTTTTATTCCTGTTGTGTATTATGCTACTGGCCTGTAAAAAATAAACATTTTTCCTTATCACCTGTTCGCAGTTCATACCTATGGTGATGATACAAGGGAGCGTTTTAGTTACTTACTCAACAAATATTTGTTGGCTTTATACTGTGTATAACACTTGTCTAATGTATCCAGCTGTTTATTGTGTGTCTAAGAAAATGTACCATGGTTTTGCTGTTATCAGGACTTCTTAGATGTGGAATGAAATTCACAGGCTCTTGACCTAGATGTGACCCTTTTTGCATGCATTTTATGGCTCTTCAAGACCTGTCATTTTCATATTAGAATCCTGCATTGTACTGGAGGCCAGCATGGGGCCTGGCACTTGGTGTTTCATAGATACAGCTGAATGAATGCGTGAATACATGCAAACAAGATGCTGTAGAGTTCCTGGTGACCATGTCCATAAGCAGACATAATTTTTTATCCAATCTAGATACTTTTGAAAGTGGAAGGCCATGCTATTAGAATTGAGCTGGGACTGTCCTGGCCCACCTGGGATGTCCAATCACTCATTTGGTGACGTCATTGGTGATGATTGGAGTCACCATCCAGGATAAGACAGCTAAGAGTTCTGTTGAGAATGCAGTGCAGTGCAGTCTACTTTAGGCAGGAGACCCTAGGAGTCATCTAATGGCATCTAATATTTCGTTTTATTTCACTGATTTTCTTATTTCCTGTCTACTTTAAGAAATTATTTGAATTGATTTATAGCAAAGAATACATGCAATAGTATCATGATTGCAAACATTAATGATAAAGTCAGCAGGGGCATCTGCCTGAGATTTATTGTAGTTGACTCAGTGCGAAGCTGAAAACTGAGAGAATGTTATTCACTGCATGGATTTTGTGACTTGTGGAGTTAGAGGTGGTCACTTAATAAGTCACTGACTGAAGAGAACACTGTTTTCCCTCTTTATTCCAGTAACATGCCTATTAAATTACCAAGTCAGTGTCCAGCAGGCAGCTGGGTTTGGAGCTCCAGGGTTGGGTCAGGGCTGCACATGCAGATTTAGGAATACTGGTGAGCACATAGCTTATTTTTAAAGAGGATAGTTTTAACAGTCTGCAAACTCTTAGCCTCCACTTCTTTTAGGTGGGTTTTTCATGTGCTTCCCTAGTTCATTCTGAGTCTTTGATGCTATCTCTTACCAAGCACCTAAGTGGAAAACTGAAGGGCGAAGACACTTCTAAGTGTAGTGTGGGAGACTGCAGATAATAATACCAACTGGAATTGTTGAATGCTTACTGTGTGACAGATGCTGTTCTGATTGCTTTACATGTATTAGCTCATTTAATCTTCATAAGTACACCATGAGGTAGTTAACTATTGTTGTCCCCATTTTATAAATGAGGAAATTGAGATATTAAATGGTTAAGTGATTTGCCCAGTATTTTTCGCTTGGTGAGGAGGTTGTCATTCATAGGCAGGCAATCTGAAACCAGTCTGTGCACTTAAATTGCTCATAGATAATTACTCTAATTATCAGTGGTAAGAATCTCATTGCTTAAATTATAATCCTTTACCAATTCAAAGAGGCCCATACCTTACAAACCGTTCTGTTTATATACTTACCCCCTAATCTGTTTGAGTTTACTCTTGTAATGTATATTGATTACTTGGATACAAATACGTGGGGTTGTACCATTGGACTTTGAGAACCATCTCTTTGCCGTGAACTCAAACTTGATCCTGGAGCTCAAGGCTCACGTACTGGCTGTCTTCATGAAGTCTTTACTTATTTCCATGGCATGTCAAATACAGATGAGACCCGATTATTCCCAAACCTGCTCTGTCTGCAGACTTCCCTATCTCAGTAAATCAAATCACTATCATCCTTTGTTTCCTTCACTATTGCAGTAAACTAACAGTGCTTCCAGTTTCCATCTTTTCCCTCTATGGACTGCTCTGCACTCAGCATCCAGAGTGAATCCTTTAAAATAGAAATCGTTCCCTCCATTGGTTTCTCCCTGACACACAGAATAAAACCGAGATTACTGATCGTGGCGGGTGTCTGCCAAGTGTTTTACTACTTACTCCACTCTATGCTGTCCCAACACACCAGCCTTCACTTTGACTCTCAACAGGCCAAGCTCATTCAGTTTTAGGCTTTTGCAGTAGCTGTTCCTTTTCCTTTCTGGGCTGTCCTTCTCAATTTCAAATGGCTAGCTTCTTACTATTAAGACCTCAGTTCAAATATCACCCAAAAGTCAGCCAGTCTAGAGTAGTTCTACTAATTATCACATTATGGTAGTTATCAGCAGAATGCTTATCGACAGCTTTTTTCCTTGGTAAATTATTATGGTCTCCTCACACTAGAATGTAAGCTCCAAGTGAGCAGGGATTTGTTTCTCTTGTTCTTTGGTGTATCCTCAGGGCCTAAAGTAGTATCTCAGTACACAGGGACACCAACTAAGTATTTGTTCACTAAGTAATTAATTTCATAGCCACATCTTGGAGACCTCAACATAGGACTTGCACATCTAAAGAAATTTGGTCCACGAGAAGAGTTGTCAAAATTCTGCCTAGGGTTTTGACAGAACTGTCAGATGCTGCTTTTCTCTTTCAAAAATATGTTAGAAATCCTTGTTGTACAACATTGTATTCTAACCATATTTGGATTTAGTTTTATAAATTATCTTTCGAAAAAGGACAACAGACTTTTGCGTTGTAAATGAGCCAGTAGTTCCTACAGGTGACAGCTTTCATCACCTAGAACCAATGCAATCATTTTATTCACAATGGCTGAAATGATCATTGTACATTTTTTTGTAATATTTATAGTATCTCCTTCAAATCCTGTTGCTTTATCCTGAATTCTTTTTTGAAATGATGAAGTAGGGGAACACCTTGGATCTATCCTTCTAACCTGAACAACTCAGGTTTTTGGTTTTTATTCCTTTTTCACACTGAAGTTGGGCCTTTATAAGATCAGTCTCACCTATAGGCAGACATGCATAATAGATGCTGTAAAGCAGTGCCTCCACATACAAAACTCAGACTTGGAATACTAACAGTGGTTTTTGATAACAGAGAACAGAGAGTCAACTTCAGGGCACATCATTTTCAAAATAATTTATTGAGTTCTCACACTTGGCCCTATTTGAGACACTTGTAATGGGATTAGAGGAGGAAAATAATCTGCTTACATTTAGGGATTTATACATTGATATGGTTCAATCAAAATTCAGATAATATTTTAAGACACATGTTCAATGGCAAAAAAAAGGGCAGGATACATTGTAAAAGGCAAGATAGAGAATGGAGAGAGGGAGCACTTCACTATTAGTCATTCTTCTGAACTTGAAGACTGTAACATGGATCCACAGGTAACTGTCATTGGCTAGTTTCACTTTACTGTATATGTTAGATAGGACAAGTGTCTCAAGGTCTGGGCCATTCTGACTGAATGGCATCCTTGTTGAATGTTAAATGTAGCACAACATTTTGCAAACCAGCTATAAATAGGATAAACTTGATAGGAACCCAACCTGATAAGTATAGCCAACTGCAAACAAGAAAGCAACATGTAAAATTGATGAAATAGCATGTATAAGCAGTGTCTAAGCCTCCCTTCAGGAAGGCAAACCTTAGGATATGAACACCCTGTCTCCCTGACTCGCTGAAAATAAATAAAACTACCTTGCAATATCCACATCTCGTTTTTGAATTGAGAGCTCCCCAAGTGGTGAACCCCTTGAGTTCAGTATCATTAATAATTTCTGTGATTCTTGCAAATGATTAAAGTTCTTGAGAACAATTATGAACGCTGAAAAATACAATTTACACAGTTTCTCCAAATCACATGGACAGTAGTAGTTCTGCTGTGATTTTGCTAAATGTCTATGAATCTTTTCAAAAATACCAGGAGTTTGGAAGGCCTAGAAATATCTCCATTTCCTCCCTCAGATTCAACAATAACACATTATTTTGTGGCACAAATTCTTTGATCTGTTCTTATCTGTTTTTTAATTGAATACTTTAGTGCATTCATAGAATTACATGTACATCTACTAAATATATCACAAAAAGCTTGAAATATAGTTTCCCCATTTTTGTCAGCTTTCATAGTATTCTTAACTGAATTATTAGTATTATTAGCAGTTATTAGGATTGCTTTTAAAAATTAGTCAATTAAGTTTTTCTTAAGCTCCTGTTCCTGAGTTACTTGTTAGTCCAGGTCACACTAGACAGAGGTCAGCAAATGTTTTTTGCAAAAGGCCAGATGGTATGTATTTTAGGCTTTGCTGGCCAGATATTTGTTTCGGCATCTACCTGACTCTGCCATTCTAACAAAAATACAATCACAGACAATAAATGTTAACAAACAAGTGTGACTATGTTTCAATAGAACTTTGTCTACTGACAATGAAATTTGAATTTTATGCAATTTTCACATCTTGGAAAATTCTCTTCTTTTGCGGAACAGATAAAAGGCCAAATTTGTGCCCCAGACTCAAAGTCTGAAGCCAAGTTGTATGGTACATGTCCCCTGAAGAAGGAGAAAGTTAAATGTGTGCCAGAAACAATTGTGTTTTATATCAATTACTCCATTACTCAGCCCATAATTATCAGTCATATATTAGGACAGTCACATTCCTGATAAAATCAGACACACCTCGGAGATATTGCAGGGTCAGGTCCAGACCACCACAATATAACAAGTATTGCGGTAAAGTGAGTCTGTCGGAGGAGCTTGCCCTCAGTTTGTAAAAATACACATCTCAGTATCTGTGCTTTATTTCACACAGTTACTAGGAAAATAGTTCAGAAATCACTGAAACTAAATATTCGGTTGGCCAAAAAGTCTGTTTTGTAGTACATATTGCTTTAAAATACATATGGTTTTGGTCGGTAATGCTTTTGTTAAAATAGACTTTGTTAGTTTAAAGACTTTTATTGGGATTATAACTGTATTTCTTTAAATGACAACTGCTTACTGGAGAACTGTTGCTATCTTCCTACCTTGTTTTAGTACTTTGTACAATATCTTGCCCCTCTTTTCTTTCTTGAATTTGAACTTGGGCCAGTTGCCATGAAAATATATTTTAGGGAGTCTCCTGACACAGGAGAAAACAATTTTGGAATCTCTAACATAAAACATATTTTGTGCTCCTCTTCAAGATGAAATGTTCCCAGGATGTTTGGATTTGCTGTGACTGTTGGTGCTTGGTGCTTTGTTTTTTCTATTTTATGCTTCTTTTCAGTCTGTTTGGTTTCCACTATAGGAGGTCCAGTGTTCTTTTTCTTTTCATTAATATAATTATCAATGTTGGATATTATGAAGCAGCATACTGTTTTTCCTGACTCTATCGTACACCATTGCCATTTCTTAGGATATCTTCTCACTTGTATGTTAACTGAATAGCTCTTTTCTCCTTCCTTTACTCATCCTCTGCTCACTTAACGTTACCTGATTATGACAGGCACAGTGCTGAGTTCCCTACACAGTGTTTTCCCACTGCACTGTCCACCTGTTAACTGCCCTGCACTTCGCTCTGAATTGTCTTTTTATTATTTTTGGTGTTATAGCTTCATCACCTTCTTTTGTAGTTCACTTCTTTCCGCTATTCTCTTACTGCTTTCCTTTACCTTAGAGTTTAATTCCCACCTTTTCCCTCCGCTATTTGCCTTCTGGGACCACTGCACGTTATCCCTCCCTTTGTCTTGCATCGCTCAGCTGCCCCTGCTTCCAGTCCTCCTCCTCCTCCTCCTTGAAATAGAGGCAGAACTGGCATCAGTGCATTGAAGCCGGCTTGACTGGATGGACGTGGAGAATCCCAGTTTCTTTGCTCCTGCTCTGTTGGCTCCATCTCGTGACAGTGGCTGAAGCAGTGAATTTAGCCATGAGGATTTCTTCCAGGATCATGCCTCCAGTTCTCCATGCAGGATCGCAGAGAACATTGGGTCATGCTCTTCATATTTTTTCTGACTGAGCTTTATGAAATATAACTGTCTCTCATGTCCAAAATACTTTGTCTTAAAACATCATGTTACTCTGTACACACTGAATTACAGGCACATCTTTTTTTTTTATTCAATGATAGTTTTCAGAGTGATGAAATGAATGACTATAGCTTACTGCTAGGCGACTGAGTTCTGCCTTGTTGGTGACTGGTTGAATTCAATATTTAGTCCTTGTACATACTCATGGGCAATGAGAAATGGAAGAGACGTGAAGAATTGTTCAGCTCTCCTGTTTTACATATGAGAAACTCAAAGCCTCAACTAATGAATGCCAAGCTCAGTGTCAAATGAGTGAAAAACTAAGGTTGGAATTTGAGTCTCCTGATGACAAGTGTTTGTTTAATCAACTGATTTTTCTATAGAGTTGATTCAGGGAAGAGATGTTGATTAAAGAGTGTCCTATGATATAGTATGTCATTTTATTTTAACACTCAGGACAATGATTCACATTTCCCTAAAATTTCTCGATGTTACTGAACTTTAACTCTCAAATGTCCCTATTGCTTCTACAATAGAAAGTAGCAATACCAATTTGAAATGGTTTGCCTTACAAGCCTATGATTGCCTTATAGTATAATCCATGGCCTGGTATATACAGGGGGAGCAACTTACTAGAAAAATGGGGTAAGTATCAGAAGTCAAGTGTGCACAGTGCACCAGCAATTATCAGCTAGGCTACATAAAGGGTGTGTTCAGCTGTTACTCATTTTCGTTATTCTTTTCTTTCTTAACTAAGAATTACCACTTATTTTTTTTCTCCAGCTCATAAGGAAATCATAGTTTTAGACCTTAAGTGCGATGTTAATATTCCCCTCATTTTGAATGAAATAATATTACTTTCTTGAAGCAGATTAGGAATTCGCACCAGCACATCTTCTTAGCAAAATATGATTCAGTAAAGTTCTGTGGAAAGAAGGATTACTTCTGGGTTCACCAGAAAACTCTTGAACTATTCACGTGAATTCAGTCCTGTCCTAGCATAATGTAAATAGTCCCAATTTGGGGTTGGATTACTGTAGGATGAGGATTTGAGGGGTATTTGTGGGCCAGTGATTGTGTGTATCTGCATTTGCACATATTAGTAAAAATAATTGTAGATGTGCTGCTCTTTCATTATGCTCTTTCATAATATTCACAGATCCAGCCACCTGTGAATAAACTGTCATTTGCTGCTTCGCCATTTCCTGGAGAGATGGCTTTTCCTCTTTGGCCTTCCATAGTGGCAACTGCAGCTTTCCAGGTGTTTCTGTAGATGAATTTATCCAGGCAGTGCAGTGGCATGACTTACCTTTTCCCTCCCATGTGGAGGAAAGTGTTGGAGGTTACAGTCCTTATGATGTGTAGCTTCCCATAGCCAGTGTGGTGAATAGGCTTATCCATTGGCCCTGGGGGAGCTTTAGGGTAAGGCTTATTGGTGCCTGTAGATCTTGGTTTAGGGATCCACGTTGGGATTCTCTGCTTGCATACCTCCTTGATCTTGAATTAAACAGAAGAACAAAGGTAGTTAATGATACAGTCTATGGAGAAGCAGACATTTTCAGGACACAAAGTCAGCTTGAGGGATTTGACTTCTTTGAAACCAGTGGGTTCTAGGGAGATATCAGATTAAAGATTGTGGGGTTGAAAAAAAAAAAACTTCAGTGAAGCAATTCTGCCAACGTGTGTTGAGCGTCGTGTACTATATGCAAGTCCCTCAACAGTCTATCTAGTACTAAATACAGTGATAAATAGGTTATTTTTCTTGCTTTTTTGCAATCATAGTATATGGTGGGAGATAAATAAGAACATTGTTCCAGATTAGTCTCAAAGGATCATGAGGTTGCTAGAGAAAGGTTAATTTAACTGAGGGGTCTAAGAGAGCTTCATGAAGAAAATAGCATGACTTAACTTGGGCCTCCGAGGACTTTTGGATTTTTAACAGCAGGAATGGGAGGGCATTTCAGAGTAAGGGAATACTTTTGACAGTAGGATAAAGGAATGCTCTTGACAGTGTCCATCCCTGGGGTAGGAAATCGGACACAGTTGAGAAATGAAGTGACTTCACCTTAGCACCTGAGGTTGTATCTGAGAGGTGGAGTGGGAATGTAGGTGGGGGCCAGGTAGGGAAAACTGTACTGATTCTATAGACAGTGGGTAAGTGGTAGGGGGAGGTACTGGGCAGTTAACAAGGATAAAGGTTGGAGGAAGATACATTGTAGAGATAGATTGATATTTGTTCACTATTAATGAATGAGGGGTAAGAGAGGATTCACGGCTAAATGATCTGAACTGGGAAAGTGGGTTGTGGAACATGAAGAGTGAAGACGTGATTGAGTTCATATTCATTTAGAAATATACTTATTTAAGGAAAACTACTCTTGGATAAGAATACTAATTGTTAAAGAGACAGGGAAAGCTAGTTGTAGTTCTATTATAATCCACAGTTGATTGTTGTTATTATTATTTCCCCCTCTTTGGTTGCATTACCCTTTCCTTTCTGTGAGCTCAGAAATATAAATCTTTTAAAAATGCATTTTAGTTTTTATCACAGATTTCTAATACTGTTTTTATGGGAACTCTTCTTATATTTTTTTGTTTGTTTTCTCATTTTATTGTACTGATAAAGTACAGTAGTAAAGTCCCTTTATCTCTACTTATTTTAAATGGAGACAACTGGGTTTGAACAACAATAAAAAATGATTTAAAAAAAGAAACAGAAATGTACCCAAATAGAAGAATGATTAGGTGGGAGACAGTGGCTAGGTAAGAGGGAGCAGATTCCACTTCCCCCTACACATGGGAGAAAAACCTGGACAGTCTGTGGAGGAACAGAGCAGACAGCCAGCAGTACCACAGCATATATGAAAATAGAAGATCAAAAATTGTAGCAGACAGTGAAAAACCAGACGGTAAAGAGAGTACTTCAGGACATTAAGGGTCCAGGGATCAGTGTGGGGACCAGGGAGGCTGCAGCCCCAGGCCCAGCACTCACTAGGCCAGCCACAGGGCTCTTGAGAGAGAGCTGGGTGGTGCTCCCTCCCCGACCAAGCAGGGTTTGAGCAGCACTGGGAAAGACCTGGTTGCTTAAAGTCGCAGAGAGGGGAGTAACGACTGAGTGGCAAACACACAGGGGCTGTGAGCATCCATGCGTAACCCTGGAAAGAGTGTGCACCTGAGCCCCTGCCTCAAAAGCACCTGCCTGAGCCCCTGCCTCAAAAGCACGATTCTAAGGATCAATGAATCCAGGAGCTGGTTTTTTGAAAAGATAAACAAAATTGACAAGCCTTTAAGCAGGCTCATCAAGAAAAAAAGAGAGAGGACCCAAATAAACACAATCAGAAATGAAAGAGGAAAGATTACAACTGATAACCACAGAAATACAAAGGATTGCAATAAATTACTATGAAGAACTGTATGCCAAGAAATTTGAAAACCTAGGTGAAGTGGATAAATTTCTAGAAATATATTATCTTCCAAAACTCAATGAAGAAGAAGCAGAAAGCCTGAACAGACCAATAGCAGCAGATAAATTTGAAGCAGTAATCAAAAATCTCCCGAAGCACCGAAGCCCTGGACCAGATGGTTTCACAGGAGAATTCTACAAAGCATTTAAGGAAGAGCTAACTAACCCTTATCCTTCACAGACTATTTGAAAAAATTCAAAATGATGGAAGACTCTCAAACTCTTTTTATGAAGCCAACATTATCCTAATCCCAAAACCAGATAAAGACACAACAAAGAAAGAAATCTTCAGGACAATATCGCTGATGAACATAGACACTAAAGTCCTCAACAAAATATTGGCATACTGCATCCAACAATACATTAAAAAGATCATACACCATGACCAAGTGGGATTAATCCCAGAGATGCAAGGATGGTTCAACATTCGCAAATCAGTAAATGTAATTCATCACATAAACAAAAGCAAAGACGAAAAACACATGATCATATCAATAGATGTGGAAAAAGCATTTGAAAAGGTACAGCACCCATTCATGATAAAAACACTCAACAAAGTGGGACTGGAGGGATCATTCCTCAACATAATAAGACCATTTATGAGTGACCTACAGTTGACATCATACTCAATGGGCAAAAACAAAGCTTTTCCACTAAGATCAGGAACAAGACAAGCTTGTCCACTTTCATCGCTTCTATTCAATATAGTATTGGCAGTTTTAGCCACAGTGAATCAGACAAGAAAAGGAAATAAAAGGCACTCAAATCGGAAAGGAGGAAACAAAACTGTCATTGTTTGCAGATGACATGATAATGTACATAGAAAATCACGTAGACTCCAACCAAAAACTGTTTCACCTAATAAATGAATTTGGCAAGACAGTGGGATAGAAAGTCAATATCCAGAAATCAAAGGCATTTTTGTATACCAACAATGAAACAGAAGAAGGAGAAATCAAGAAAATACTCCCATTTGATGTAGCAAAAAGAAAAATAAAATACCTAGGAATAAACCTAACCAGGGAGGTAAAAGACCTGTATGCAGAAAACTACACAGCACTGAAGAAAGAAATCAGGGAAGACACAAACAATAGAAACATATACTGTGTTCATGGATCAGAAGAATTAACATTATCAAAATGTTCATACTACCCAAAGCAATTTACAGATTCAATGCAATCCCTATTAAAGTACCAATAGCATATTTCACAGACATGGAACAAATACTTCAGAAATTTATATGGAACCATAAACGACCCCAAATAGCAACTGCAATTTTGAGAAAGAAGAGCAAAGTAGGAGGGATCGCAACACCTGATATCAAACTGTATTACAAGGCCACTGTAATCAGAACATCCTGGTATTGGCATAAAAATAGACACATGGACCAGTGGAACAGAACAGAGAGCCAAGAAATACACCCAAGTCTCTACGGTCAATTAATATTCGACAAAGGGGACAGTAACATAAAATGGAGTAAAATAGCCTTTTCAACAAATGGTGTTGGGAGAACTGGACAGCTACATGCAAAAAAATGAAACTTGAGCACCAACTTACACCATACACCAAAATAAATTCAAGGTGGATAAAAGAGTTAAATATAAGCCATAACACCATCAAAGTCCTAGAGGAGAACATAAATATGAAAATCTTAGCATTTTTATTGATATGTCCCCTACAGCAAGGGACATCAAGGAAAAAATAAACAACAAATAGGATCTCATCAAAGTAAAAAGCTTCTGCACAGCTAAAGAAAACAATATTAAAATAAAAAGAAAACCAACTGTATGGGAAAACATATTTGCCAGTGATACCTCAGACAAAGGTTTAATCTCCAAAATATACAAAGAACTTACATGACTCCACTCTAAGAAGACAAGCAACCCAATTAAAAAATGGGCAAAGGACTTGAACAGGCACTTTTCCAAGGAGGACATACAGAGGATCTAGAGACACATGAAAAGATGCTCAATATCACTAGCTATCAGAGAGATGCAAATTAAAACCACAATGAGATACCACTTCACACCGGTCAGAATGGCCATCATAAACAAAGCAGCAAACAACAAGTGTTGGAGAGGTTGTAGAGAAAAGGGAACCCTAGTGCACTGTTGGTGGGATTGCAGACTGGTACAACCACTATGGAAAACAGTATGGAATTTTCTCAGAAAATTAAAAATGGATCTGCCTTTTGACCCAGCAATTCCACTGCTAGACGTATATCCTAAGAACCCTGAAACACCAATCCAAAAGAACCTATGCACCCCAACGTTCATAGCAGCACAATTTACAATAGCCAAGAGATGGAAGCAACCTAGGTGCCCATCAGTAAATGAATGGATCCAAAAACTATGGTACATTTACACAATGAAATTCTATGCAGCAGAAAGAAAGGTGCTACTACCCTTTGCAACAGCATGGATGGAACTGGAAAGCATTATGCTGAGTGAAATAAGCTAAGTGTTGAAAGACAAATACCATATGATCTCACCTTTAACAGGAAGCTAAACAACAAAACAAACAAGCAAGGAAAATAAAACCAAAGACACTGAAATAGAGAACAAGCTGACAGCGACCAGAGGGGAGAGGGGAGGGAATTTCAGGGGAAAAGGGGAAGGGTTTACAAGAACAACTTTAAAAGACACATGGACAAAAACCAAGGGGGTGGAAAGGGGAGGGAGGGGGGAGGTCTGGAATAAAAAAAAGAAATTATTATACACACTGTAATATTCTGTGATGTGATAATTATGCAAATAATTTTCAATTATGTGGTGAAATGTTCATAATATAATACAGAATTTTAAAAATATCAAGCTAGGGGAGGGAATATTCAGTATTATTCCAAATATATATATATATATATATATATATATATATATATATATATATATTTAAAAAATAAAAAGTAACAATAAAATGCCATCTAACTTTTATAGCAGCCATATTTAGATTTTCCAGTAGACTTGGTTAAAACATGAATCTTGAAATTAAGGAAATTCTGTATGGTTAATATGATTTCTGTTGGTACATTAGT